ATTCCCTGGATATTTTGTGCCTAGAGTTTGTTAGATTTAACATTTTCTTTGAATGAGGTATCCATTCCTTCTATCTTGTATTCAGTGCCTGAGATTCTCTATTCCATCTATTGTATTCAGTTAGTGAGGCCTGTAGCATGAATCTTAAATGGTCTTATTAATAATGATTAAGAAAACCCGGGCTGGAGAGAGGGCTCAGAGGTTAAGAGCACTGACTGCTCTTCCAGAGGTCCTGAGTTCAATTCCAAGCACCCACATGGTGGCTCATAACCATCTGTAATGAGATCTGTAACCATCTGTAATGATATCTGGCACTCTCTTCTGTATGCATAATAAATAAACAAACCTTAAAAAAAAAAAAAAGAAAACCCAACTCAGTGCTCAATTGGGGTGAATTCTGAAAGATCAGAGAAGCAGAACAAGCTACAGCCAACCTCACCTCGACAACTTCTCAGCCGATCCTGTTTCCTCAAACTGGAAGCCTCTGAGTCCTCATCTGAATGGATCTCAGCTGAACTGCTGCTAAAAAGCCTAAAAACTTAAAAGCCTCTAGTTCCTGGTCTTCATGCCTTATATACCGTTCTGCTTCCTACCATCACTTCCTGAGATTAAAGATGTGTTATCATACCTGGTTGTTTCTAGTATGGCCTTGAATTCACAGAGATCCGGATGGATCTCTGCCTCCCGAGTAATAGGATTAAAGGTGTGTGCGCCACCATTTTCTTGGCCTCTATGTCTATCTAGTGGCTGTTCTGTTTTCTGACCCCAGATAAGTTTATTAGGGTGCACAATATATTGGGGGACTCATTATTACTGTAGAGGCCTTCCTGTTCAAGTTTCTTATTCCCAGATTTCTCTCAGTTTGGATTTTCTTTATTGATTCTGTTTCCACTTTCAGGTCTTGAACTCTTTATTCATTTCCTTCTACTGCTTGTTTATGTTTTCACAGATTTATTTCATGGATTTATTTATTTCCTCTTTAAGGACCTCTATCATATTCATAAAGACTGTTTTAAGGCCTTTTTCTCATGCTTTCTGCTATGTTGGAATATTCAAGGCCTCTGTGGTAGGGCTGCTCAGTTCTAGCGGAGACATATTGTCCTAACTGTTACTGTGTTTGGGGGCTGGTGTCTAGGCATCTGAGACTAGGAAGATTGTAATTCTAGGTGCTGATATCTGGTCTGGTCTTTTTTGGGTAGGTGTTTTGTCCCTCGGTTTCTGTTTCCTTCTCTGGTTCTTAGGAGAGTGTGGTAGATGTGTATTGCCTGGTAGAAAAGTCTTCTGGGGTCCTGATAGGTGTAGTCACTGGGGGTCCCCGGTACATTGTGTTTCTAGGTATTGGAAGCCGTTACTTAGGAATGAGGATGGGCTAGAGTGGCTGGGGGGTCCATAGAAAGGAGGGAAACAGGGTGTTCTAGGAGGATCTGCTTAGTCCCCTGGGAATGGGGGCAGAGAGTGAGGAGAGGCCACAGCAGGTGGTCTGTTGAAGAGCTGGTGATGAGACTGGGGGATTGGATTTGGAGAAAAAGGGGGAATGTGAAGGTCTGAAACGTGCCTACCTGCTTCATTGGCCTGCCTGCTTCTCTGGCAGGCTTCACCTGAGAGTTCCTAGGGAATCAATCCTGCCGGAGATGGGGGCTGGGGTAGGGAATAAGTTGGGGGAAGGAAGGTTACAGGAGAAAATCCATGTGATCCACTGGAGATGGGGGCAGAGAGGGAGGGGAGACCAAAGCAGGTGGTCTAGTGCCCAGGGGGAGGGTGTACAGGGGTGAGACTGAGGTCTTAGATTTGGAGGAGAGGAGCAAGAGGTGAAGATTCGAAGTTAGCCTACCTGCTTCCCTGCCCTGTGTGGCAGGTGGGTTCCCAAGGGGTTCTTGCTGGAGATGGGGACTCTGTTTGCTTGTTTTTTTTTTTTTTTTTTTTGTTTTTTTGAGACAGGGTCTCACTCTGTAGCCCAGGCTGTTGGGAAACTCATGATGATCCTCCTGCCTCAGTCACTACTAGCACAAGTGCTGGGATGACAGGCACAGTCCACCACACTCAGCCAGAGATTTTTTCTTTTAACCTCACTTGAGCATTTGATGTCCACACCTAAAGGAAGGTCTTAGTCAATACTAACTTTCTTAGAGCCAACTAGCAGTAAAAGGGAATGTCGACATGTCCTCCCATTTACAGGCTCAAGGCCTTCAGCCTTCCAACTGTCACTTGCGTGCCCACACCCACCCTTCTGAGTTCTCCCACTCTCCGTTTACCATACCTTAATTCACTTCACCTCTTGCCTATAGGTAATAACCTAATACCCACAGGTAAGGATGCATCCACAAAAAACGCACACCCGTGTTGAATTTTTATAGAGGAGAAAAGCTAACAGGCCAAAAGAGGATGGAGGATAAGGAGACAAAGGGAAATGGAGTCTGCCTAGACTGAACAGTGCTACTGTCCCCCGACACTGTTGTCAAATATTATTTAACTGGGCAAAGATGAGTTACATTTGTTTATCCTGCAGAATGTTCCTTTAACTGTGTAAAGGTGTGTGTTACTTTTGTGTTTGCTGCATCTGTTTAACGATGTATAGATGTGTTGCATTTGTTTCACCTTGCCTGCCTAAGGCACCTGATTGGTCTAACAAAGAGCCGAACGGCCAATAGCTAGGCAGGAGAATGGATGGGCGGGGCTGGCCGGCAGAGAGATTAAATAGGAGGAGAAGCTCTAGACTGGAAAAGGAAGAACAAGAGAAAAAGGAGGAGAGAACGAGGGACATGCCCGGGGCAAGAAGCCAGACAGACAGACAGACAGACATAGAGAAGCAGCGAAAGTAAGATAAACAGAAGAGAGGTAATAAACCCGGAGGCAAAGGGTAGATAAAGAGAAACAAACGGGTTAATTTAAGTTAAAAGAGCTAGCCAGAAATGTGCCTAAGCTAGGCCAAGCATTCAAAACTGATAAGTCTCTGGGTCATGATTTGGGAGCTGGTTGGTGTCCCCTCCCCCCCCCCCAAAAAAAGGAAAAAGCCTGGTACACGTACACCAGTGGAGCTTACCCCTTCATGGAACTGGATGGGCCCATTGCTGCCCTCCAGAGCGCGCTCGTTTTTGTAATAGCTGTTCAGGGTTGGGTTGGAAGTCTAGTCTGTGGTGGTTTTCCTTCTGTATAAAAAAGTGATCCTCCAGGCAGAGGCAAGCAGATCTCTACAAGTTAGAGACCAGCCTGGTCTTCACAGTGAGACGCTGGCCAGTGAGGTCTATGTACTGAGACCTCGTCTCCCAAAAAGAAAGGGGTGGGGAAGAGAGAGAGAGAAGTGATCCTCTGGGGAGTGTCCCCGCCTCTGGCATTGCCGTGACTCAGTCATTTAAGGAAACCATCCACAGCGTGGAACAAAAGCCACCGGAGAGGAAGAAATAGGAAAGAGAACAAAGTGCACATTAGATTTCCTCCTCTTCCAACTTTTGTTTCTAGAAGACTTACCTGGGGACAGCTTCCTGGCGCTGAAAAATCCTGACCATTATCCCCGAACATGAATGCTCGAAGGGCAGAGTTACAAGACCGGGCCATCGTCAAAATAGCAGCTCACCTACCAGACCTCATTGTCTATGGAGATTTCTCTCCAGAGCGGCCGTCAGTGAAATGTTTTGATGGAGTTCTGATGTTTGTTGATATTTCAGGTAAGTGCAAAAGGGATGCTTGCTTAATGCGGCTGAGCCACATGCTCGCATCAGAAGTCACATGCATGTTGTGATTGCAGTGGGGACACCATTTTCAAACCCCTAGGCTGTTACAGCAGCTAGTCTCACTGTGCACTACGGGAAAGAGGATGACCCCTGACCCCAGGTGTCTCTCATCTTCCCTTCCCCCAGCTTTCAGTCACAGGCATGTCTTTAAGACATTCAAGTTCCCCATCTGGGACGTCTGACTCCAGAGTCCCTGCCGCAACTCCACAGCCTCGTGTCCCCCGAGTCCCACACACATCCGTGACAAACTGACAAATTCAGGAAATGATCTACTATGTTTCATATCCTCATACTAAAACATGGCTCTTCAGAATTTGAAAAATGTGTGGCCTCTAAACCATGGAACAAAATCTTGTATTTCCAACAAGATGCCATTATCATCACTCTTATACAATAGGAACCTAGAAAGAAAAGATGACTTCTCCTGATCGCAAGCCTATTGAGTGCAGCATGGCTAATGCCTGACCAGACACCCAAAGGTCATCTGAAGCGCAGCCACTTGTAGTGGGGCCCCTTTCGGGCCAGTGGAGCCCTCTGCTGGCTCTGCTGGACTCCCAGGAAGCCGACTGCAGTTTCTTACAGGTTTTACTGCCATGACTGAGAAGTTCAGCACAGCCATGTACATGGACCGAGGGGCCGAGCAGCTGGTGGAGATCCTTAACTACTACATAAGTGCAATAGTGGAGAGTACGTGTTCTCGCCGCGGGCTTCGCTGGGGAGTATTGCAAATCGTTGCTTTGCCGGTATTTGAATCGTAGAGTACAGGGACTTAGAGTTCTGCATATCTGTGTCCAGGAAATATATATGCCATCCTCCTGGTTAGTGGTGTTTGGTCTTGTCTTGTCAACTTGACACAAGCTGGAGACAACAGGGGAGAAGTAACTTCGATTGAGAAAAATGCCTCCCTCAGATTGACCTGTTGACGAGTCTGTGGGACATTTTCTTGATTGATCATCGATGTGGGAGTTCCCTGCCCACTGTGGGTGCTGCTGCCCCTGAGCTGGTGGTCTTGGGTTGCATTTAAAAAAAAAAAGGGAACCTGGGTGAGCCATGGGAACAAGCCAATAAGCAGGCCTCCTCCAAGGTCTCCATTTCAATTCCTGCCTCCATGTTCCTGCTTGAGCTCTTCCCTGACTTTCCTTCATGATGAACTATAAGGTAGAAACTAAAATAAACCCTTTCCTCCCACAGGCCTTTTGGTCAGGGTGTTTATCACAGCAAGAAGAGACAAACCAGGGCAGTCATCAGTACTTTTAATATGCTGTAATACAACTAAATGAATGCAATCAGCCTCACTAATAAGACTACATGAGAGAAAGTATGTTTTATGTTAAAGACCCGAGTCTATAGCCAAGGCTGGCCTGGGACTTTTTATATAGATAAGACCTTGAACTCAAGGCAGTCAATCCTCTTGCCTCAGCCTCCCAATACTGAGATTATAGGAATGAGCCACTATATCTAGGCTAATGTTCTTTTTAAAAGTTATTATTTTGTGTTTGGATGCTGTGTCTGCATCTGTGAGCCATATGCATGCCTGGTACCTGCAGAGGCCTAAAGAAGGTGTCAGATTCCCTGGAACTAGAGTTACAGATGCTTGTGAGCTGCCACGTGGGAATCAAACCTGGTCCTCTGGAAAAGCAGCCAGAGCTCTTAACCACTGAGACATCTCTATAGCCCCAGGCTAATGCTCCCTAAAAGTAGAAACAAAACCTGTAACTCCAAGACTTAGGAAACCGAGGTGGAAGGAACATAAATGTGAGGCTACCTGAGAAAATAGTGATTTCCAGCTAGTCTGTTATGAGACTTGCCTCAAAACCCCCAACAACTTACTGGTAGAGTGCTTTCCTAGCATGAACACATGCTTGAGGCCCTGAGAGGAGAGAGAGGAGATCCAGTGGTGGCTCACATCTGTAATCCTAGCACTTGGGAGGCCGAGTCTGGAGAATGGTTATGTGTACCAATCCAGTCTAGGTTACGGAGAGCCTGTGGTGCACAGTGAGACCCAATCACAAATAAAATGAAGGACTGGGGAGGGCTTAGCTGTTAAAAGTGCTTGGTGCTCTTATAGAAGATTCAATTCCCAGCACCCACATTGGGCAGCTCACAACCGCTCATAACTCCAATTCCAGGGGATCCAGTGATTTCTGCTGGCCTCTGTAGGTACTCACATGAATGCACGCACACACACACACACACACACACACACACACACACACACACATACACAAAGAAACAAAATTTGCAAACAAATCACAGAAAGGGCCTCTAATTTGTCTTTGCATCCCACTTGACACAGCAGGCACTCAGAATTTTGTGGAATATTGTTCAAACTAAGACCTGTGCAGGGGCAGGTGTGTGAGTGTGTGTGTGTTGGAGGGGGGGGGGTCCTTTAAAGCCTATCTTGCCTAACATGCCGTGTTCCTCCCCAACACTAAGACCAAACCAGCAAACACAAATCTCCACTTACATTCATAGTCTAAATTGCTAAAACAAATGGCAACCAATAGAGCCAATTCCTTACTCTCCTGTTCTCGTGGAGTCTCGTCCTTTTCGGACCGGCGTGTGCTCCCGTAGAGGCTGGCTGGCAGTAGTCTTCTACACTGGGAGGAGGGCAAGTATTCTTAGGTCTTGTGGGGAGCTCTGCCCTCCTGTTCCTGGCTTTGGTTTTGGTTTTCTAGAGCACAGACACAGGTTGGTTGCGGGGCTCACTGTCTTACAGCTGAGGAGGCAGGCCTGCATGGAAGTCGTGAGACGTCGTGTTTGACAGAAGTGTATTCTCTGAACTGCTTCTCACTACCCCGTTTCTACTTCTCTTCGGTCTAGCTAGCTGCCTCTGAGGCAGGGTCTAAGGTCTAGCTATATTGCCCCATCTGAGCTCAAACTCACCATATCCTTCTGCCTCAGCCTCCCAAGTGCTAGGACGACAGGCATGTGCAACCATGCTCACACAAAACCACTTCTACTTCACTAATGAATAATACTAAAGAATCAGTTTGACGTCTCTTTCTGTCTTTTCTTTTTTTTTTAGAAGTGCTGATTTTCGGAGGAGACATCCTAAAATTTGCAGGTATGGAAGCCGACTGAGACGGGAAGGGTAAGAAGGAAGAACTGAGGTGCCTGCCCTGTTAAAAAGGAAAGTACCTCAGGGAGCCGTGGCCAGGGAATGGGTTGAAAAATGTTTGAAGCTTGTGTAATGTTCATGCAAAATGCACTGACCTCCAGGGTAGGACTATAGCCCCTAGAGTGTCTCTCTCCAAGGTGACGCACTGCTGGCCCTGTGGAAAGTGGAACGGAAGCAGCTGAAAAACATCATCACAGTGGTGATAAAGTGCAGCCTGGAGATCCATGGCTTGTTCGAGGCCAAGGAGGTTGAAGAAGGCCTGGATATCCGGGTCAAGATAGGTAAGTACCTGGAACCAGGTGTGTGGAGACCCACAAAGGTTTCCTAGTGAGATCTGAGCTTGCTTTACCCAGCAGGGCTGTATTAGAAGGTTGCTTGACCATGTGCATGGTTACCAGGTGACTGGAAGGGTCTACACCTGGCTGAGCTAGGGGGCAGTCTTTGCTCTACCCCTTGACAGGCCTATAAATAACCCTTTAGAAGAGGCAGAAGGGGCCAGTGAATAGGGATTCAGGCCCTCCCGAGCTATCCTGTGTTTCTAGCTCTCTCTCCCCTCTATATTTCTATCTAAATATTTCTCACTTCTCCCTCCTCAAGACTACCCTGGGGTAAAAATGGGAGCAGGTCTCCCACACGGGTGTATGCTTGTAATCCCAACTCTCAGGAGGCTGAGATGCTCCTGATGCTACAGCAGTTGAAATCTGGTTCCTCACTCCTAGAACATGCTAGCTTGGTCCTACCATCATGCTTTGAAGTTGTTGCCAGGCTGACCAGAATACAAACTTTTGCTCACTCACTAACCATTTAAGAGAATTTGAGATGATCATGATATCTATATAGTAGGGTCTTATAAGAGTAAAGTAGACTAGAGGTGGTGGCACACGCCTATAGTCTTACCACTCAAGACATACAGGAAACGATTGTCAGTTTGAGGCCACCCTAGGCTATATAGGGAACCTTTTATGAATACTTTTGGGCTTGGAGAGATAACTCAATTAGTAGAGTGTTTACCTAGCCTGCAAGATGCCCTGGGTCCCACGAACCACATAAACTAGGTATACTGGCAATGCTTATATTCTTAGCACTCAGAAAGTGGAGGCAGGAGGATGAGAAGTGTAAGATAACCAGGGGTGTAGTTCAGTTGCAAGAGTACAATGTACAACGTCCTGAGTTCTGTTCTTGGTGTATCACAAACCAGGTGTGATGGTACATGCCTTTAATCCTAGCATTTAGGTGGTAGAAGCAGGAGGACAAGAAGTTCAACGTTATCCTTGACTATTTAACAAGTTCAAGACCATCCTGGATTACATGAGATCTTGTATCAGTGAGGAGATTGTCCTCAGCTGTGTATACAGTTTACAGACAATGTGAGCCACATAAGGTTTGCATGAATAAAGGAACTGATATCACTGTCATATCTTGCTGCTTGTCAAGCTTGTCCAGCATTAAGAACGATAGAGTAGTTTGTCATTACATAAATTCAGCAATGCTGGAGAAGTGGCTCATCGGTTAAGGGCATTGGAGACTCTTGCAGAGGACCCAGGTCCAGTTCCCAAACCCACATAGCACCTCACAGCCATGTATAACTCCATTTCCAGGGAATCTAATTCCCCCTTCTGACCTCCACCAGCACCATGCATGCACACAGTATACTTACACACATGTAGGCAAAACACTTGAATAAAATAATCTCTTTGTAAAAAAGGAATGCTAAACAAGGAAAGCTTAACAAGTTACACCTGCAGCAGAGCTCAGTGTTTCTACTGGGCTTGTTGAGGACATTCTTCTAATACAACCACATGCAGTTTCATATTTCACAAAGACTTTACATGCATTGTGTGATTTTCATTTAATCATGGCACCAGGATTTGGGGAACATGGTATCCATGAGGTCTGAGATTCTGAGATGTGTGGATGATGAGTAACAGCTAGAGCTGTGGATGGTGCCATTGGTAACGAAAACTGAAGAGTCTTAGAAATCTTGAATGTTGGGACCAGCAAGATGGCTGGGTGGGCAGCAGGACTCTTGCTGGTGCATAGAAGGGGGAGAATAAACTCTGCAAAGTTGTCCTCTGACCTCTGTGCACATGGCAAGATCTCTCTCTCTCTCCCTCTCCCCCTCTCTCTCCCTCTGTACACATACACACATACACACACACACTAAATTTAAAAAGAAATAATGTCAGAACTAATAGGATCATCACCATAACAGGTTATCCAATTGATTCTCTTTAATTAGCTGTTGTCTTAGATGACTTATCTTTTTATGCTTATTTTAAAATTTCCCAAATATATCCTTTAAAAGTTCAGCCATTACAATACTGAATGTGTTTTTTGTAACAGGGTCCCAGACCTTAGAAAGCCCTGAGACCTTAGCACAACTGACTCCATGATGGAAGTGCCATGCAGGCTGTAAAACTCAGCACACAGACAGCACCACCTGCCAAAACTAAAGCAAAGGCCTAATCTATCAACATCCATAGAGTTCTGGAAAAGTCTCTGAATGTACTAACCTTGCTTTTTGGCTTCTGTAGTTCTGCTTCTGGCTAACTGTTCTTATTAACTGAAGTATGTCAATCCAGAACATGGTTTTTATGCCTTAAAAGCTTACCCTGAGAAAGGCTCGGGGCTACACTGGGTTCTGGAGCACACAGTGCTGGCCAGCTAATAAAACTTTCTACTGGCTTAAACCCATGTCTGAGCAGTCTTCTCCAGTGAATACCCCAGGACATTTTTTTCCAAGTTCACTCAGAGGCTAATGTGGTATACTAGAAGGTGGTAGAATACACTA